TCTTGGTAGTAAAGCATAAATACACAGTAAAAAACAGATTGAGCTTTATGTACATTTAAATGGTACAATCAGCAGCACATTTTAGGTTCCAAGTTAGACCAAGATTGATCTTTGCTCTGTATCTCAGATCTGTTATGATGCATGAAGTTATGAAGGGAATGTAATTCCAAAGAGGGGTTTTAGGATAAAATTGTCATGACTCCTGAGGTCCACATTTTTCAAATCTCAGAATCACCAAGAGATTTCTGGCCGTAGAAGAAATAAAATATTTTATTTATATTTTACTGATACTTAATTTTCTTTTTTTTTTCCCATTTATTTATTTTATTGCATTTTAGGTTTTGGGGTACATGTGAAGAACATGCAAAATTGTTGCATAGGAACACACGTGGCAGTGTGATTTGCTGCCTTCCTCCCCATCACCTACATCTGGCATTTCTCCCCTTGCTATCTCTCCCCAGCTTCCCAACCCCCACCGTCCCTCCTCTATTTCCCCCCAACTGACCCCAGTGTGTAGTGCTCCCCTCCCTGTGTCCATGTGATCTCATTGTTCAACACCCGCCTATGAGCGAGAACATGCGGTGTTTGATCTTCTGCTCTTCTGTCAGTTTACTGAGAATGATGGTTTCCAGGTTCATCCATGTCCCTACAAAGGACCCTAACTCATCGTTTTTGATGGCTGCATAATATTCCATGGTGTATATGTGCCACATTTTCCCTATCCAGTCTATCGTCGATGGGCATTTGGGTTGGTTCCAGGTCTTTGCTATTGTAAACAGTGCTGCAATGAACATTCGTGTGCACGTGTCCTTATAGTAGAACGATTTGTAATCCTTTGGATATATACCCAGTAATGGGATTGCTGGGTCAAATGGAATTTCTATTTCTAGGTCCTTGAGGAATCGCCACACTGTCTTCCACAATGGTTGCACTAATTTACACTCCCACCAACAGTGTAAAAGTGTTCCTATTTCTCCACATCCTCTCCAGCATCTGTTGTCTCCAGATTTTTTAATGATCGCCATTCTAACTGGTGTGAGATGGTATCTCAATGTAGTTTTGATTTGCATTTCTCTGATGACCGGTGATGATGAGCATTTTTTCATATGTTTGTTGGCCTCATGTATGTCTTCTTTTGTAAAGTGTCTGTTCATATCCTTTGCCCACTTTTGAATGGGCTTGTTAGTTTTTTTCTTGTAAATCTGCTTTAGTTCTTTGTAAATTTTGGATATCAGCCCTTTGTCAGATGGGTAAACTGCAAAAATTTTTTCCCAATCTGTTGGTTGCCGATTCACTCTAATGATTGTTTCTTTTGCTGTGCAGAAGCTGTGGAGTTTGATTAGGTCCCATTTGTCTATTTTGGCTTTTGTTGTCAATGCTTTTGGTGTTTTGGTCATGAAGTCCTTGCCTACACCTACGTCCTGAATGGTTTTGCCTAGATTTTCTTCTAGGGTTTTTATGGTGTTAGGTCTTATGTTTAAGTCTTTAATCCATCTGGAGTTAATTTTAGTGTAAGGTGTCAGGAAGGGGTCCAGTTTCTGCTTTCTGCACATGGCTAGCCAGCTTTCCCAACACCATTTATTGAACAGGGAATCCTTTCCCCATTGCTTGTTTTTGTCTGGTTTGTCAAAGATCAGATGGTTGTAGATATGTTGTGTTGCCTCCGAGACCTCTGTTCTGTTCCATTGGTCTATATCTCTGTTTTGGTACCAGTACCATGCTGTTTTGATTACTGTAGCCTTGTAGTATAGTTTGAAGTCCGGTAGTGTGATGCCTCCCGCTTTGTTCTTTTTGCTTAGAATTGACTTGGCTATGCGGGCTCTCTTTTGGTTCCATATGAAGTTTAAGGTGGTTTTTTCCAGTTCTGCGAAGAAGGTCATTGGTAGCTTGATGGGGATAGCATTGAATCTGTAAATTACTTTGGGCAGTATGGCCATTTTCACGATATTGATTCTTCCTAACCATGAACATGGAATGTTTCTCCATCTGTTTGTGTCCTCTCTTATTTCGTTGAGCAGTGGCTTGTAGTTCTCCTTGAAGAGGTCCTTTACATTCCTTGTTAGTTGTATTCCTAAGTATTTTATTCTCTTTGTGGCAATTGTGAATGGAAGTTTGTTCTTGATTTGGCTCTCTTTAAGTCTGTTACTGGTGTATAGGAATGCATGTGATTTTTGCACATTGATTTTGTATCCTGAGACTTTGCTGAACTTGCTTATCAGTTTCAGGAGGTTTGGGGCTGAGACGATGGGGTCTTCTAGATATACAATCATGTCATCTACAAATAGAGACAATTTGACTTCCTCCTTTCCTATTTGAATGCCCTTTATTTCTTTTTCTTGCCTGATTGCTCTGGCTAGAACTTCTAATACTATATTGAATAGCAGTGGTGAGAGAGGGCATCCTTGTCTGGTGCCACATTTCAAGGGGAATGCTTCCAGTTTTTGCCCATTCAGTATGATATTGGCTGTTGGTTTGTCATAAATAGCTTTTATTATTTTGAGATACGTTCCATCAATACCTAGCTTATTGAGTGTTTTTAGCATAAAGGGCTGTTGAATTTTGTCAAAGGCCTTCTCTGCATCAGTTGAGATAATCATGTGGTTTTTGTCTTTGGTTCTGTTTATGTGGTGAATTACGTTTATAGACTTGCGTATGTTGAACCAGCCTTGCATCCCCGGGATGAAGCCTACTTGATCATGGTGGATAAGCTTTTTGATGTGCTGTTGCAATCGGCTTGTCAGTATTTTATTGAAGATTTTTGCATCTATGTTCATCATGGATATTGGCCTGTAGTTTTCTTTTCTTGTTGAGTCTCTGCCGGGTTTTGGAATCAGGATGATGTTAGTGTCATAAAATGATTTGGGAAGAATTCCCTCTTTTTGTATTGTTTGGAATAGTTTCAGAAGAAATGGTACCAGCTCCTCTTTGTATGTCTGGTAGAATTCAGCTGTGAACCCATCTGGACCTGGGCTTTTTTTGGGTGGTAAGCTCTTAATTGCTGCCTCAACTTCAGACCTTGTTATGGGTCTGTTCAGGGTTTCGGCTTCTTCCTGGTTTAGGCTTGGCAGGAGGCAAGTGTCCAGGAATTTATCCATTTCTTCCAGGTTTATTAGTTTGTGTGCATAGAGTTGTTTGTAATAATCTCTGATGATGGTTTGAATTTCTGTGGAATCTGTGGTGATATCCCCTTGATCGTTTTTTATTGCATCAATTTGGTTATTCTCTCTTTTCTTTTTTATTAATCTGGCTAGTGGTCTGTCTATTTTGTTGATCTTTTCAAAAAACCAGCTCCTGGATTTATTGATTTTTTGAAGTGTTTTTTGTGTTTCTTTCTCCTTCAGTTCTGCTCTGATCTTAGCTATTTCTTGTCTTCTGCTAGACTTTGAGTTTTTTTGATCTTGCTCCTCTAGCTCTTTCAGTTTTGATGATAGGGTGTCAATTTTTGATCTCTCCTTGCTTCTCATGTGGGCACTTATTGCTGTATATTTTCCTCTAGAGACTGCTTTAAATGTGTCCCAGAGATTCTGGTATGTTGTGTCTTCATTCTCATTGGTTTCAAAGAACATCTTTATTTCTGCCTTCATTTCATTGTTTATCCAGTCAACATTCAAGAGCAAGTTGTTCACTTTCCATGAAGCTGTGTGGTTCTGAGTTAGTTTTTGAATTCTGAGTTCTAACTTGATTGCACTGTGGTCTGAGAGACTGTTTGTTACGATTTCTGTTCTTTTGCATTTGCTGAGGAGTGATTTACTCCCAATTATGTGGTCAATTTTAGAGTAGGTGTGATGTGGTGCTGAGAAGAATGTATATTCTGTGGATTTGGGGTGGAGAGTTCTGTAAATGTCTATTAGGTTTGCTTGGTCCAGGTCTGAGTTCAAGTCCTGGATATCCTTGTTAATTTTCTGTCTGGTTGATCTGTCTAATGTTGACAATGGGGTGTTAAAGTCTCCCACTATTATTGTGTGGGAGTCTAAGTCTCTTTGTAAGTCATTAAGAACTTGCCTTATGTATCTGGGTGCATATATATTTAGGATCGTTAGCTCTTCTTGTTGCATTGATCCTTTTACCATTATGTAATGTCCCTCTTTGTCTCTTATGATCTTTGTTGCTTTAAAGTCTAATTTATCAGAGATGAGAATTGCAACTCCTGCTTTTTTTTGCTCTCAATTTGCTTGGTAAATCTTCCTCCATCCCTTTATTTTGAGCCTTTGTGTATCCTTGCATGTGAGATGGGTTTCCTGGATACAGCACAATGATGGGTTTTGTCTTTTTATCCAATTTGCCAGTGTGTGTCTTTTGATTGGGGCATTTAGTCCATTTACATTTAGGGTTAATATTGTTATGTGTGAATTTGATACTGCCATTTTGGTGCTAGCTGGCTGTTTTGCCCTTTAGTTGAGCTGGTACTTGTTGTTCCTTTATATGTGTAGAGCCTCTTTCAGGGGCTCTTGTAGAGCTGGCCCGGTGGTGACGAAATCTCTGAGTACTTGCATGTTCCCAAAGGATTTTATTTTTCCTTCACTTATGAAGCTTAGTTTGGCTGGATATGAGATTCTGGGTTGAAAGTTCTTTTCTTTAAGGATGTTGAATATTGGCCCCCATTCTCTTCTGGCTTGTAGGGTTTCTGCTGAGAGATCTGCTGTGAGTCTGATGGGCTTCCCTTTATGGGTAACCCGACCTTTCTCTCTGGCTGCCCTTAGTATTTTCTCCTTCATTTCGACCCTGGTGAATCTGACGATTATGTGCCTTGGGGTTGCTCTTCTTGACGAATATCTTTGTGGTGTTCTCTGTATTTCCTGGACTTGAATGTTTGCCTGCCTTGCTAGGTTGGGGAAGTTTTCCTGGATAATATCCTGAAGAGTATTTTCCAGCTTGGATTCATTCTCTTCGTCGCATTCGGGTACGCCTATCAAACGTAGATTAGGTCTTTTCACATAGTCCCACATTTCTTGGAGACTTTGTTCATTCCTTTTTACCCTTTTTTCTCCAGTCTTGCCTTCCCGTTTTATTTCATTGAGTTGATCTTCGACCTCTGATATCCTTTCTTCTGCTTGGTCCATTCGGCTGTTGATACTTGTGCATGCTTCACGAAGTTCTCGTGTTGCGTTTTTCAGCTCCATCAATTCACTTATATTCCTTTCTATTTTGTCCATTCTTGTTAGCATTTTGTCAAATCTTTTTTCAAGGTTCTTAGTTTCTTTGCATTTGGTTAGAACATGTTCTTTAAGTTCACAGAAGTTTCTTACTACCCACCTTCTGAAGTCTGATTCTGTCATTTCATCACACTCGTTCTCCATCCAACCTTGTTCCCTTGCTGGTGAGGAGTTGTGATCCCTTTTAGGAGGAGAGATGTTCTGGTTTCGGGTGTTTTCATCCTTTTTGCGCTGGTTTCTTCCCATCTTTAAGGATTTATCCACCTGTCGACTTTGTAGTTGCTGGCTTTCAGATTGGGTCTCAAATCTTTCAGATTGACATTCTGTTTGTTGATGATGAGGTTATTTCTGTTTCTTGGTTTTCCTTCTGACAGTCTGGCCCCTCTGCTGTAGGTCTGCTGAGGTTCACTCCAGGCCCTGCTTGCCTGGGGTTCACCTGCAGCAACTGCTGAACGGCAAGGGTTGTTACCAGTTTTCTTCTTCTGCTATCTTTGTCCCAGAAGGATACCCGCCTAGTGTCAATCTGATCTCTCTTTTATGAGGTGTCTTTTTGGATATATAGAGGTCAGGGAGCTGCTTGAGGAGACGGTCTCTTCTTTATAGGAGCTCAAATGGTGAGCTGCGAGCTCTGTTGTTGTTCATTCAGAGCTGCTGGGCAGGTACTTTTAGGTCTGCTGCAGCAGAACTCATAAACTGCTTTTTGTTCCCAGGTGCTTGTCCCAGGGATTTAGGGCTTTATTTATGAGTTTCCGTTATGCTGCCGCCTTCTTTTTTTTTTTTTTTTTTTCCTTCAGACCTGCCCAGCCCAGCAAGGAGGCAGCCTGGTCACTGTCGGCCTATAGCAGCTTTGCTGAGCTGCTGTGGGCTCCGCCCCGCTGCCGAGTGAACTTCCCTGCAGTCCTGTTTATATGGGTGTAGTTAGAACTGCTTTGGCAATGGAGGCCCGCCTCTGTTGGGGTGGAGTCTCTGCTGTGGCGGGTTGCCTTGGCAACGGCGGGCTGCCTCAGCAATGGCGGGTTGCTTTGGCAATGGCGGGCTGCCTCGGTAATGGCGGACGCCCCTCCCCCACAGAACTGGACTGTCCTGGATTCAGCTGCGCTTGCTGTGAAACTCTCAATCCAGAGTTTCTGGTTGCTGTTCTTTTGTGGGGGTGGAGCCAGCCGAGTCTGATCGCCTGGCTCCCTGCCTCAGAGCCTTTTTTAAGTTGGTGTTCCAGTCGCCTGTTGAAGAGGCGCCGGGGTCTGTTTGTTTTCCCCTGCGGCCACTCACTGCGCTGTCTTAAACAGCGGCACTGAGGTTTGTGGCGCTTTTTTTTTGCCCTGGAATCTACTGTCCTGGTTCTCTGCTCAGTCCCCTTTTTGAACCAGTGTATGTGCGACTTCCCGTGGCTCCAATCGCCAGCCAAAAGGGCCCCCGGACTGGTGTATTTTGTACGGAGAACCGCAGCTCCGGGGCGCCGACAAAGCAGCCGCGCGGGGCAAAGCAGCGGCGCTGGCGCTGGCCGAAACAGCCGCGCTGGCGACCATGGAGCACCTCCGCCCGGGAATTTCCTAGTCTGTGGGCAATAAAAACGCGGTGTCCACTCACCCTCTGCGCTTTCACTGGGAGCTGCAGTCCTGAGCTGTTCCTGAACAGCCATCTTGGATCGTCCCCCCCGATACTTAATTTTCTTTAAAATTTACTAATATATATTTTAGATGTTAAGAAAACAGTAACAAATCAACAGATTATTTTAAAATCCCAGTTATTAAAAATATTTTATATTAGTTTTGTTTATTAGGAAAAAGTAATATTCAGTCTTATGTCTTATGTTTTCCAAAACATTGTATTAAAGCAATTAAAGATTTTACAAGAATGCCAAGAGACTGATGTTTGTGGAACCTGATGAAAGGCATCTCACCCAGATGTTTCTGTTGTACTTTAAGGTTTACAAAGAAGATCTACCTCAGCTAAAGCAACAAAGTAAAGAGAAAAACCACATAGTGCCCTTCCTCAAACGAGAAAAGGCTCCCGAGGACAGCTTGAAACTCCAGTTCATACACGGGTAGGTGGTCTGTCATAAGCACCTGTGCCTCTTCCTCTCTCTGTCTGGCTGTCACCAGCCTTAGCACCAGGCTTTAGGGGTCCTCTCTCCTCAGTGTCGTCCTCCTTCAGGCTAGCTCTTCCCTGCAACGTGTACTTGCACCTGTGGTTGCTTTTTAAAGTATGACTCTCTGTCCAGTTTTCTCGTTGATGTTCTGTGGCTATCACAATGTGATTGTCTCTAGATTTCTCAGACTTCATGTGATTCCATGACATCAAGACTACTGCTGCTCATTGCTGCTGTATTTTTTTCTCATCACCATCTTCACTTCCTCTTTCTCCTTTCCTCTAATCCCCTGCTCTGTTCACTGGCTCCACCATAGGACAGCATTTTCTTCAAATATTTTTTGCACATGTGCCCAACATAACTTTGAATTTTGTAAAATTATATGGACCCTTGCATATTTTAAGTAGACAACTAAAACTTTTTAGTGTAACTTTAAATGGTTGAGAAGACTGTATCTGTATTATGAATACATCAGTCCTTTAAGTGGATGCAAAGGAACCTAAATGCCATAAATATTTGATTCTCACTATTATCAAATTAAAAAATATGTGTGACAAAAAACAGCAGCTCCCCCTGTAATCCTAGCACTTTGGGAGACCGAGGCAGGTGGATCACTTGAGCCCAGGAGCTCTAGACCAGCCTGGGCAACACGGTGAAGTCTCATCTCTACAAAACCTAGCCAGATGTAGTGACATGCACCTCTAGTCCCAGCTACCCAGGAGGCTGAGGTCGGGGAATCGCCTGAGAGGGAAGGTCTAGGCTGCAGTGAGCCACGATCTTGCCACTCCAGCCTGGGTAACAGAGGGAGACCCTGTCTCAAAGGGCGAAAAAAATGCATGAACAAATCCTTCTATAACAGGAGAATATTTTATATCATTCATATTTCTACTTAAGCTCCTATCTCCATTCTAATTTTTCCATAAAATTTTACCCTAACATAATGTGTGTATGCTTGAGAGTTCTTTGTCACTATATCATACCCTCTGCAAGAAAAAAAATTATCTTCTGGGATCATAAGACTGTACCTCAGCCCAATACAGTATCCACTAGCCACATACATGGCCACCGAGCACTTAAAATACGGCTGTTCTGAGAAAAAATGTGCTCTGTGTGTAAAATGCACACCAATTTTGAAGACTTACTATGAAAAGAGGAATGCAAAATATCTTACAAGCTTTTATATTGATTACATGTTGACATAGTAATGTCTTAGATGTGTACTGGATTTAAAAATGTTACTCAAATAAATTTCATTTTTTTCTAATGTGGCAACTAACAAGTTTTTAATTACTTAGGATCATGTTATTTTTTCTATTAGATAGTGCTGCTCCATTAACCATTTCTTTGATTGAATTATAATTATTTGTAAAAATTGACTAAATCAACATAAATATATTACTAATTGTGACATATAATTATTAAGCACAGAAAACTTTTATTGGAAATTATTTTAATATAGTGGATTGGTTTTCAGTTGCAAAATTGGTGCGTGTATATTACTTATTGTTAGAATGTAGTAAAATTAAGTATTGAGTCTATTCCCAGTTTGCATTTTTTTATAGATGTAAGCACTAAGAAAGTCTATTCTCTTTAAAGTAGGTAAGAGTGGAGGCAATTTTATCATAGCGATTTTACTCAATTCTTCAAACTCCTATGATAGGCCAAAAAAGTCATATTTGATTTTGATATATCACAAAATGATGATCTTTCAGCTGATAATTCCATTAAGTCTCTGTACAATTTTGTTGAAAGCAAAGAATTGAAAATCCCTTGATTTGCAGGATTTCTTAGCCAGTCATTAGAGTTGTTTTCTTTCGACATCCTTGCTTGTATTTTGAATTCTTCATTTGTTTTGGTGTCCCTGGAAGGGTCTATGCTCCAGAGTAATACACCGGAGTAGGATTTCAGATGGAGGAGAGGAATGGCTTTCTACAGTGGGAGTAAGGCGTTTATGAGAGGGGAGATTGGGAAGGGAATACATGAACCTCATCACAGATGATCATTTTTAAGAAAAAGTGCACACAATAGCTGAGGATTTGGGAACAGATTATGTTACAATGGTCAGTGCCCGTGTGCCTCTTTGAAAGTCATCTCATGCCCTCAGACAGCCACATATCCTCATTTAAACATTGCTGTCCTATGTGACACCTGGGGTTCCACTTGTACGTGTGCATGCCAGTATGTTAGCCTTGTGTCTGACACCTTCCGCTCCATGTGTTTGCTTTTCGTTCAACCACTGTGCATTTCTCGGACCTGTGCTTTAGTTATAGAGGCTACGACTGTAGAAACAATCTGTTCTACACACAAGCTGGAGAAGTAGTCTACCACATTGCTGCAGTTGCTGTCGTGTATAACCGGCAGCAGCATTCCCAGAGGCTGTACCTGGGGCACGATGATGACATTCTCAGCCTGACCATCCATCCAGTGAAGGACTATGTGGCCACTGGGCAGGTACGTATCTCCTGTAAAACTGAGGCCTAGCCAAAAAGAGAATTTTTAAACCGGTTTACATATTAGAAATTCAAGAAGTATTTGGTAGAAATAAACATGACATAGGAAGGTGAAGGTTGAGTGAACATTGGATCATTCCATGATGATGGCAGAATCAACCAAAGCATTCTAGCACTACTGGGAAACCTCTGAGGAGTTCTTTTCCTGGAATGATGAGATACATGAATGGGACCAGCTAAAACTAAAATAGTGCAAGTTTTGTCAAGGAGTAGCTTTTTATATTTCCTCACTGTGTGCCCAGGACTTAGTATATCCTAGGTACTCAATAAATATTAGCCAGGCGCAGTGGCTCATGCCTGTAATCCCAGGACTTTGGGAGGCTGAGGCAGGCAGATCAGGAGGTCAGGAGTTTGAGACCAGCCTGGCCAACATGGTGAAACCCTGTCTTTACTGAAAATACAAAAATTAGCTGGGTATGGTGGCATACACCTGTAGTCCCAGCTACTAGGGAGACTGAAGCAGAAAAATCACTTTAACCTGGGGGGCTGGGTGGGGGTTGTACTTGAGCCAAAATTGTACCACTGCACCCCTGCCGGGAAAAAGAGCAGAACTTTTTCAAAAAAAAAAAAAAAAAAAAAAACAAAACAAAAAAAATATATATATGTATATTTTTTGAATGAACCATTTAAAAATACTGTAACATCTAGAGTATAATTATTTTTGTAAGACTTAAAACCATCAGAATTTTGACTAATTTATATTTTAGCCTTATAAAAACACTTTGAATTTTATCTGAGCTTTTTTTTGAAATGCCTAAACCTTGGATTGAGTCTGTAATTGAAAAAGCTACTATAAACAGGGACCCTGTACAATCATTTGGGGGTGGAAAGAGAAAAGTAATAGTTAATTTATTAAACAAAGGCTGTTAAACTTGGATGTATTACCTTGCTGGCTAAAGAGTAATATTGTCAAAAGTATTTTTAGTTTTTTCTTTTCCTCAAATGTATAGATTATATTTTTGTTCAGTTTCTTTTATCATGAGTGTTTAATTGCAGATAATACTTAACTGGTGTTGACTACCTAAGTGGCAAATTCTGAGAAGAAATTCTTGGTATAATGTCAGGTTAACATGAAACAAACCCTTTTCCTGAAACTTGACATGCAGGTGGTAAAGCCTTTAAACAGAGTTCATAACCTGGGGTTCATGAAATCCACGAAGGAAAATGAGAGCATGAGGGGAGTCAACCCCTAAAAAGGGGTATTTTGGGGGAAAAGGGATCTATAGCATTTAACCTGTTTTTAAAAGGGTTACAATCCTCTGAAGGGTAAGGGCCTGCCATTGGTTTATACATGAATTTGCTGGCCCTCCAACTGAAAATTAGAGACCTGTTGTGTTAGCTGATGTTATTAGGTTTTACAAGTAATTGATCATTGTTTTGCTTTTTCACTTACCCTTATTTTTTTGTCTGTCTTATAAACAGACGGTGCTTGATTCATGTGTATTTAATAGCCTTTTTTTTTTTTTTAAACTAAAAGCCAGACATTGGTTTTTTTACATAAACCCCCGAGGAGATAGTGCACTCAATACTGTATTTGATGGAAGGTAAACCAGTGGCAAACAGTATTCCAGCAGCCACCTGCAGGAGACTGGATAGACCTCTAGGAGTGGCCCGATGCTGCTCAATTATGCCTATAGCTTTATTTCCCATTTTTTCTTTTAAAATCATCGTACCCAGCAGGTTTCTCCCCACAGCATATTACAAGTGAGAAAACCACTGTACTATTACAATTTTCTTCATTGTTGGGGATTAGTGTGTTAGAAGCTTGTATCCCTGCAAAGATAATCCATCTTAATGAAAGATAGTTATACCATGAAAATGTTATTTCCCAGGGGCAGAAGTGGGGCGAGGCCTCCTCCTGGTGGGTAGCATAATTGAGAATGGGTAAAATAACTCTGGATAGCATCAAGGTACAGGTGAGTTCCCGGACTGAGAAGCAGAATCTTGTGTCAAACTGAGAAGGCAGGAGAGGGAATGGTAGAAGTAACTGACGAAAACAAGGCACAGTGGACATTTGAATTGGCCTTCAATGCCCAGCATCAGGTTAGGCTCTGCTGGAACTCCACCTGACGGCCAAGACAGGCCTCTTAGAGACACAATGTCACAGTTTCCTCATCTCAAAAATAAATGAGTTGTACCAGATGATTTCCTAGGCTCCTCCTAGTCTCCAAATGGGTTTATCTTGGTTTCTGAGCAGTGTTTCACTCTAAGGAACAAAATCATTGTTAGTGCAACTTAGTAGTAGTTAATAACACTCATCCTCTTATTTAAGGTTGGAAGAGATGCTGCTATTCATGTGTGGGACACACAAACTCTAAAATGTTTGTCACTATTGAAAGGCCAACATCAGAGAGGTGTGTGTGCACTTGATTTTTCAGGTAAGACCCAGAGTCCTTGACAGATGGTTCTACATTTAGAGAGAGAGCGTGTGAGAGACAGAGAGAGAGAGAGAGAAAGAGTGAGTGTGTACTTAAACTTCCTCTCACTTAGTTGTTCTTTTTGTATTGAAGTGCACGCTCTGTGTATGCCAGCTACCTACTCTCAGACTGGGAATCATACATGGGAATACCTCACCAAAAAATGTGGCCTTTAGATTATATATCCCTTCCCATCTTCCTCATTTCTTCTCTCCCAAGTCATTACCCAGAGCTCACACTGTGTTCTGTATTTGCTTGAGCAATTTGAAATCCAGAGCAGCTGTTGCTGTTGATTTAGTTGCAAATGTCTGGCAGTGACTCAGAACATCAATTTCATCTCTCCAAATGAGTGGGAGCACATCACTCCTGATTTAAAATACAAAGAACTCGAGAGAAGGCTGCATTCTCTGCAGAGGGCCACTTGACAACATTGGTATTTGGGAAGTAACTTTTACGTTGAAAAAATAGAACTGATGTTTTCATCTCCTTAATTTAAAATTTGAACATAGTGTCATAAAAAAAAACTGATGAAAATAATTTTCTTTAGAGTAAGTTTTCTTTAAGCTAGCATTTAAGAATAAGCGCCTATCACAAAAAGTATTTCTACATAGAAATTTTTAATTTCAACTGTAGAAATTAGACCAATAGGGAAAAAATTCTAAACTTTCTACAGAAAGCTGATTTTGTAATTTTTTTCCTAAATTTTATTCAAGTGCTTAGTAAGTATAACATGTATAATGTTATTAAATTCCAAGACTCCACAAACCTGAGCTCTCTCCCCTGTTCCTTCCTCTCCCTGTTCAAGCCCTCACTCCCTCTCATCTGTGCCACGGTAATCATGCTGGTCTCTGATGCCATCCCCACTTCCTCAGTCCATCCTACCCTTTTCTGGAGGCTTCCAAAAGCATAGTTACCATTGCCACTACATGGATTCCCCTTGGTTGGCTGACTCAGTGTGGAGCCCTTGAGATATCCATGGCCTTCCATGATCTGGCCTTAACCTTCCTTAGCAGCGTTTTTCATCTCCCACCCCGCAGTCCATTAGTGCTCCTTTACATCTGTCTAACTGGATGTCTAACTCCTTTACATCTGTTGAACTGTGGATGTCTAACTCCTTACGTCTGTCTTGCCCTTCTTTTGCCATGTTCTTTGCTTATGCTTTTCTCATGTGTCTTTTCAAGTCCTACCATCCTTTAAAGTCAAGTTGGAAGTTTTCTCTTCCAACTTCACAGGGAGAAATAACCTGTCCTTTTTTCTGCATCCCTTAGCCCTTTGTTGTCATTGCTCTTGTGGCACCCATCCAGAGTCCGTGTGGCACGTAGTATTTGTGTCAGCATCTCCATACGTTTCACACACAGTAACCACTTGGCAGCAGAGCCCATCTCTCCCCTCCCTACTACACAGGCCAGACTGCTGTGGAGATAGAAGCTGCTAAAAAAAAGTAAATGACTAAATGAACAAATGAGGTTCTGCTTAATGCACTGTCTTGCCTTTCCCTATTATTATGAGAATTTTACATTATAAGCCACGTTTGAGTGAAAACTACCTTCATTGCCTGACCAGTGCAACATGGGGCAGTTTTTAGTTTTTGTAACATGCCTGTTCTCTCATACTACAAACTGCTCTACAAATCTGAGCTGCTGTGTCATTGTTAGAAGTTATTCAATGCCTTCGGTGACTATTAAATTAGTAAAAATCAAGGCTAAACAGCTCAGACTTTGGTGACATGAGGTAGGAGAAGGTGTCAGTATCGAGGGAGAGAGAATGACTCCGTATACCGCATGCCAGTTTAATAACACAGTCAGTAATTCACGCAATAAACAGTAAATACAAAGTCCAAACTCCTAGAAGTCTGATGGACATGCAGTTTTAAAATAGGTGTGCAGTAAAACCTAACAGGAAACTGTAATTTTAGTTCAAATATGATTGTATTTCAAAGATATGGATGAATTCCTTCTGCTTTTTGTTCTCCATAGTTGCACTCCTCAGTGGTCAGACTGCCTTTTTCCTAAAATTAATTTTGCTGGCAGACATATATGTCTATACTTAAGTAATGACATTAATAAGTATGCTTTAGAAGAGTGGTGAAATGCCTGTTAAAGTAGCAAAAATAAACAACAATAGCTAAATGTTGACACGATTATAGGGAATCCTATATATTCTTACTTTTGGCAGCACTAAAAATTGTCTCAATTCTAGCAAACAACCTGGCTTTATTATAATAAAGCCATAATTCAAAATGACAAGTACCAAGACTGCATTTTATGTACATTTCAATGTATCAAGATAACAAAGAAAAAATTCAACTCAAAACACTATCACTGATTGCAAATGAAAATATGCACATGTGTATTAGCATATAAACAAGTGGCAGGAAATTTAGAGTAATATAGAATTTGATCATTAGGTTATTTTTTTTCTATAGAGTTGATTAATTTTCTGTTTTTAAAAATCAAAATAATTAGCTTGTGCTATTTAAATACCTTTGGAGGAAGAGATTAACAGATCAAAGACATTAATTATGAGATGAGTTGGTAGCAATAAGCTGGTACCTAGTAATGTGGTCTCTGCATTTCAGATAGCTAACATTTCTTCCTGGCTTATTAGTTTTATAGAAGAAAGAATAAGAAATAAAGTGAGCTTAGAAACCTTTTTTCCATGAGGCAGCCCTTAGATCATTGCCTGGTTAGAGAAATCAGATACTCTGGAGGAGCTAAGGAGTTCGATTCTGTGACTGCTTCTAATTCCCATCTTGGGCACATGAATTCCCAAATATGAAATATTTTGTGCATAAGAAGCGTATGTCAGTATTTTAACAATACAGTCACCATTCTCCAGATAACAATCACGGGGAAAGAGCCAGTTTTTCAGCAAATGTGTTGTTTTTGATTATGAAAATTCACCTTTTTGTCTTACAGGTTAAGTAGGATGTCAGTATATAAATGGTAGAAAGGGATCTGATAGTTTTAGAAAGTACTGAGGACTTCCTAAAAAGTGGTGGTGGGACCTGTGGTGACTCCTGAATGTGTGAGCTGAGGCCTCTTTGGTTTAATTTCTATTGATAAAATAGAAAATTTAGTCTGTGTTATAAGAATACAATTTGAGTCTTAAACGCCTGCACCACTTTATATGCTGAGAATGGAGATCCGGAAGTTTGGTAGGGTGGCCTGAGTAAAAGTCAACGGTGGCCAATCCCAAGGCAGAACCCAGCTCCACTGCGAGAGTCACCAGACCTGGGTTTGTCAGCAGGCAGGAGGCATGCGAGGAGTTCTCTTTGGGTGTCAGGCCACCTCCTGCCCCTTTCCTTTGCCAGTGCTAGTGTGAATGCAGGGTCACACTCATTAGTTATGATTTAGCTAGTGCTCCTGTGTGCCTGAGTCAGTGCTGCTGTCGCTGCCCAGCTCTTAGGAGTCAGATCATTTTGGAGGTTTTGTGGACACCTACTGATAGTGTGCTTGTTTCTTGGAAAATAAGTTGTCCTGAAAATATAAAGCAGGCAAACAATGTGAAAACTAGGCAACAAATAAGCAGAGTTATGTGTGAGGATTTAGATGACTTGCCACTTTGTAAGAGCAAACAAAAGACATTTCTTAGGACAGAATTTGTAACTGTGGGTTACATGGACAAGAAGGAATGAATTTATCTCAGTTGAGAACCTGTTTTAACTCAGTATTTATTACTGTCTTGGGAAAGGGGAACCATTTTTGTTGCGTGCTTGCAGTGAGGAAAGTGCTTCCACATGAATAGAAAACCAGATTAGAAATAGAAAAGGTCAACCACATAAATATTTTCTAGCCTAAATATCAACCATATAATTTTTTAAAGACCTTCGTGGAATAATACCAATTTCCATATGGGCACATCTAAGACTTAACTTGATTTCATTGTGTTCAGTAGAAAACCTATGCATTTTTGATGAGCTCTGAATAGAGGGGCCAACTTACAGTTATCTGAATAAAACCTTTATCCTTTACTGTTGACATTAAGTGCCTTCGAATTATTTCTGGACTGTGTCACAAACATCCATAATTCATGCTGTGACTGGAAAGATGTGACAGGACATTACCTAAGACTAAAAACATGGCTAAAAATAAAAAACTCCGACTAACTGGTCAGAGTAGATTTCCAAAGCTAAGGCCAAGGCTTACCTTACAGGGAAAGTGAAACTGAGAAAGGGTAAAAAGGTGTAGCCAATATTATTTCCAGACTGTGTGGTATATACAGCTCACACCCTCAGAACTTGGGGAAAAGTCACCATCGCAAAGAAGAGGCATGATTGTTGAGGCACCTCTGGGTTTGCACTGCTGCTTCCATTGCTCTCCACAAGCAGAATATCTTTTTTGTTGTAGGAAGTTAGTGTAATGGGATAAGCTGACAGGGTCTTGCAGAAATTCTCCTAAAATCAAAGCTCACCTCCTACCGCCCTCAAAAATCAGCTTACCGTTAGGTCTTCTTCAGATGAAGTAAAACTTTATTATTCTAAATGTATTGGTGCTTGCATTCCAAGAAAAACATATTATTGTAATATAGCTACACAGATTTCAAAAGAAAACATGAAATATAGTCAATGAATGCAACAAGAGACACTGAATATTTGTGCCGTGTTTTTGAAATGAATAATTAAATTTTTAAAAATTTGTTTATAATTCACACATAATTGCACATATTTATGGGGTAGAATGTGACATTTCAGTACAAGTATATATTGTGTAATGATATAATCAGAGTAGCCATCACATCCATCACCTCAAACATTATATTTTCTTTGTGGTGATAATATTTAAGATCTTTTAGCTGTTTTGAAATATACGATACATTAGCTATATTCACCTTAATATGTAATATAACACCAAAACTTATTCTTTCTAACTGTAACTTTGTACTCACTGACTCTTTAGTCATCATCAAAAAAAAATTTTTTTTTGAGTCAGGGTCTCACTCTGTTTCCCAGGCTGGAGTGTTACGGCTCACTGCAGCCTGGACCTCCTAAGCTCAGTGGATCCCCCCACGTCAGCCTTTTAAGTAGATGGGGCTACAGAGGCACACCACCATGGCTGGCTAATTTATTTGTGTTTTTTTTGTAGGCACTGGGTTTCCTCATGTTGCCCAGGCTGATCTCCAACTCCTGGGCTCAAGAGATTCACCTGCCTCAACCTCCCAAAGTGTTGGGATTCCAGATGTGAGCCACTGCGCCTGGCCAAATCTTTATACCTATTTAACATAGTACATTCTATTTCCATTTATGCCATCCATAGGCACATTCCATCTTTATCTTTCTCTTCATCATCAGTGTCACCAGTATCATCAATGTTCACTGAAAGCTTGATCAGTGTGAGGCTTACAAAGGAAATGTAAGATTATTATAAGCATAAAAGAGCTTATGATCTTAAAAAAAGAGAGAGAAATCACCAATAAAAATAAAATCAAATGCAGAGGCATACCAATGTAGAAACAACCAGACCATATCAAGAGATAGGGAAAAAGTAATGTTGGTAATAACAGGAAGACAATACCGGTTCCTTCTCCTAAATGCATAAGAAGGGCCCTCACCCAGTTCAAAGCATGGTGACATTTAAGCCTAAGAGGATATCATTTGTTGTGATTTGAAAGACATAGTCTGGTTATAATAATCACCTGGTGGTGATTTAGCTCTTAGGGAAAGTGTTAATGTCTTCGTCTGATACTACAGCCTAGTAGCTTGAAAAGGTCAGGTAACTTTCAAATTCCTGCCTCATACTTCGTAGTGGTGGAGGGTGGGGAGGATTTGGTGTGTAAAACAGACTTTTTCTTTCTCTAACTCTCCTTCATCCGGAAAAGGAGGAGGAGACAACCATTTCCAGTTGGTTGGAGGAGGGTCTCTTGCACAAGCAAGGGCCCTTGGACATTGGTTGGCATTTGAGATCGGGCTGCCAGATGTAGCCAACAAAATTATAGGAGGCTCAATTAAATTTGAATTTTAGGTAAATAATTTTTGTCATAAGTACATTCCATGCAAAATAAGAATAAATATGTAATATACATATAAATATTGCTTGGGAAGTACTTGTACTAAGAAATTAATTATTGCTTACTTGAAATTCCAGTTTATTCTATATTTTACCTGGCAACCCTAATTTGGGCCCTACTGCAGATCTGCCTTTGAAAATATCAGTTGAGACCTCTGAGTGGACGGGCAGACCTGGAAGAAGGAATTTATCACAGATCTGTGTTGCTTTGCCCTCATGACTGGCCCTTGGTAGTCAGAGAAGAGAGCTGATATATTGATGCAGGATGAGCTTGATCACTCATCTCCTAGCAACCGCACAGCTAGTGGAAGGGGGACTGCTGACCCACAGATGCGTCTGTGTTGAATCTAGCCCTGCAAGGAGGCAGCAAAGGAAAGGCTTACTGACTCTACCTCTTCTTTTATCTTGAAGGAAAAAGATAAATTAGCTGTTTTTATTTGAAATTTAATTGTACATTCACTATATTTTTAAAACAATTTGGGGGAAAATCACCTAAATGTCCAAATTATAGTAATCATGGATAATTATTATTCTCTTAGAGAAATAAATTGTCCTAGAAATGTAAAGGAGACAAGTGATGTGAAAACTAGACAATAAATAAGCAGCTATACATAGGGATTTAATCTATTCTTGCTACTTTTCTAAATAATTATAAGTAATATTTAATATTAAAGGAAAATGTTCATGATATAATAGATGAAAGATTAGATAATAGCCTGTTCAGTATGATTCTGGTTTTGTTTTTTCTAAGCACATTTATGTAAAGGCTGGTAGTATATATATCAAATGTAGGCCTAGAAATTTGGAAGATTTAAAAATTTTCTTCATATATTTTAAACTTACTATAACAATGGCACTATATTTAAAATAGGAAGCATAACATTTTTTAAATGTAAAATCATCTTTTGAAAGAGTTTTTGGAGTTCAATTTAGTTTCTATCATGTTCCTGACTTGGAGGGTTAACTGAGCCCAGTTTTTAGAGCTGAAAATGGACTTGGGGTCACAAAGCCAAGTGGCACTTCAAGTAAATGTCATGAGATTTGTTTGTCACAAAATAGGGAAAGTTTTTTTTATGGCTTACCTGAGAGTCTCCCTCTAGCCCTGTGTCTCAGAATGTCAGGTCTGCGATCCACTTCGGCAGCCCATTGTTAGGAAGCTTGACTCTTATTAGTCGTGCGTTTCATTCAGTGAGGTCCCTCAGCATGTGTTGCTTCTAATGTATTAAAACATGTTTATAGAGTACAGTGTGATGTTTCAGTACATGTATACATTGTATAATCAAGTCAGGGCAGCTATCACATCCATCACCTCAAACATTTACCAATTCATAAGGTCAATTTCTTAAGGTCAATTACTTATTCTTCTTTACAGTATATGAAATGTTTTGATTTTTCATGGAAGAAATTTTGACATTTGTGTTTTCATACAGCTGATGGAAAATGTCTGGTGTCGGTTGGTTTAGACGATTTTCACAGTATTGTATTTTGGGACTGGAAAAAGGGAGAAAAGATAGCCACAACAAGGTAAGAAGCTGCTGGGATCTTATGGCATCCTGCTGATATCATGGTTCAGTAAAGGTCAATAGTTTTCATTTTCTAGTAAGATTTTATCTTCAAACTCAGCTGAAATTCACATAGAAAGCTTAGCACCTGAGTGAAAAAATATTGCAATATTTCATGGTGCCAAATCTGACTTAGAGCAGGTAATGTTTGTTGCACTGAATCAGAAAATTCCTAAATCCTCTGCAGAGAGTCGTTCACCACTTCATTTTGAGTGATCTGTGTAATCTATATCAAAGCACTTCAGCAATAGAAAAGCAGCTTTTCTCAGGCTGGTGCCTTGCCCCTTGTTTTTCCTCTGTCTTAGCGTCTGGTGAAGGATTGTCATTGTCACCAGAGTCAGAAGCACCGTTGGTCATGAGTCTGCAGCATGCTGGAAAGGAAGCCCCACCGTGTGCATCTGCCACTTGCTCTCAAAGCAGGCAAATTGTTTCCCTAATCTCCCGTCTTATAAATAGACTTTTCGAGACCGACTGCTGTTTATAGACCACCTGTCCTCCTTTACCCCAGCCTTCCTGCCTGCTGAATCAGCGCTAAGTCTGAACATGACTTTCCACTCCTGCTTGCATTGAGCTCAGCTGTTTGCCCAACCCTGATCAGGGGTCAAAATAGTTGGCAGCCAAGGCCCGGCAATACAATTTGTTGCCCAGGCGTGTTGTCACTGTACCTCCCTGCTCGTTCTTCCCTGCATTCATGATGTCCTTTCTATCTTGCAATATAAAATCGTTTTGAAGTTAATGGCCTTGAACCCCAATATTCACTTTTTAAATTAATATTTTCCTCTACAATATTAAATAGAAAAAAAAGTTTTGTGGCAATTTAATGAATGAAGATTTATAAACTGCTAGAGACCAGGAGGAGCAGCAGATGGAGGCTTGAGGACTCCAGCTGACCATCTTAGGAAAAAAAGAGAAGCTTTTCTGATGACTGCTGTTGAGATGGAATTCTTGGAAACAAATGGCAGCTCATTAATCTCCCTGCTCAAGTGGTTTTTCTTTCGGTCTGTCTTTCTAGTGTGAGGTACTACTCCCTTCTAGTACTCAGATTCAGCTTCGCATCAGAACTGTTTCCCTACTAGACTAAAATACAGAATTCAAGTTTAATATTTCTGATAACATACCATCTGCCTTTACAGATAATTTCAGGGAAAGCACATTTCTGCATTTCAAAAGCAATAGAAATGCAATTTTTCTGCTAGAAAACCCTTTAGCTGTGGGTGGCTCACCAGTTTTATGCCAGAAACATTAATAGAAATGGAAGAAAGAAATAATATTAAAAAGTATATATTTTATGTACTTGGTGGATAGTGTTACTACTTCTATTTAATTAACACAATGCTGACTTAACACCATTATGTTAATAACACAATTTATATTTGGAATTACTCCCAAGCCTCATGACATTCCCAAAACAGAATATCTGCAGAAGCAACCAGGAGAGCATTTTGGATTGACATTATCCAGTGCTGTTTCCAAGGAGGAATATCAAGGATTATTAAAGTTCTTTGGAAGAATACTAGAGTTTACAATAAGTAAAAAGCTACATAAATATCTATTTGTGTAATATTAACAATGATATGTATTCAAATAAATACATAAGAAATTAGACAAATAAAACTTCTACTTGTTGCCTTAAGTTAGAGTGCTTAAGTATATAGAAACTTTTAAAAACCGGAGGCCGGACATGGTGGCTCACGTCTGTAATCCCAGCACTTTGGGAGGCCGAGGCAGGCAGATCATGAGGTCAAGAGATCGAGACCATCCTGGCCAACATGGTGAAACGCTGTCTCTACTAAAAATACAAAAATTAGCCAGGTGTGGTGGCGGGCACCTGTAATCCCTGCTACTTGGGAGGCTGAGGCAGGAGAATTGGTTGAACCAGGGAGGCAGAGGTTGCAGTGAGCTGAGATCGCGCCACTGCACTCTAACCAGGCAACAGAGCAAGACTCTGTCTCAAAAAAAAAAAAAAAAAAAAAAGGGGCATGAAAAAGAAGTGACAAAGAAGTAATCCTTAACAGAATGGTACCTTGCTTTTTCAGGGTCATCTAAGCTCCCAAGAGGGCCTAATTCACAGAGAAGCTGATTCGGTCCTACCCCTCACTTTGCACTTTTGTGTCTCGATCACTGCCAGCCGCATTTATAGAGCAAGGCTGAACAATAAACCTGCTTCTGGCTCGCTGTGCTGTTTTGGCAAGAGTTATTGTTCTCCAGCACTCATTGCCCAGGAGGTGAATTTTCCCCAAAGAGGAGGTGCATGGTCAGTAGCTGTAGTGGCATTGCCAGCTGTGCTGCTGGTGGCCATGCTGATGTGTGCCACCTGCACAACATGGCTCTCAAAAGTTGCTCCTCCCCCGATTTGTGAGAATATTTTAAATGAACCTACTCTTAGCAGCTCACAGAAACCAGAGAAATTTAGAATTGGACCATAGAGATCTTATTTACAAGATACGATTCTCTAGATTTTGTTGACAAGAGCTCGATGAGACTGGATCCAATCTATTTGAACAATTTCCCTGCATCTTTGTTAATTTTCGTGAGTGATATTGGTTACCTTCATTACAAATTAATTTTTCATTTTTTTTTCCTAAAGATCATTCCAATTTTAGCCTAATATACAAGTAGCCCATTTAAGAACCAAAACTGATTCCTTACGGGAGTAGTTACATGACCTAACATCACTGTAAATCAGGGCAAAATAATGCGACAGCTAATCAGGTATGTCTGTACTCCTTTATTCGGACTTGTGTTTCTCTGACTAGGGGTAATGTGACTAGGGGAACAATGACTACTTACAGACACGGTTCATTTCAGAATTTGAACAGGAGGGATCTTAGACAAAAAAGAATTATCAACAAGAATACTTCCAGTGCTAATCAAGTAGTTTTCCTGCTATAAAGCTTAGGGTGAAACTGTAGGCTCGCATGTAGCAGGTGTATCGAACTTCAAGTAAGCACTTCTGTATTAGCTTCGTCACTTGATCTGTTTCAGGTCCCTACCCTACATACATTTCATGGCTATGATAGAACCTCCCACATACCATCTAGGCCCCTTTTCTTTTTCACTTGCTTTTTAAAAATAACACTTATTTCTTCCTCTGTTTTACAAATAATATATGATCATTATAGAAAAATTAGAAAGCAGAGAAAAGCACTAAGAAAACCATCTTTAATTCCACTACCCAGATGTAGCCATGGTTGACATTTTAGCATACATCTTTTAGTATATATTTTTCTATTATTTGTATTCACTTTTATTTATATGTTGGGTATTGTACATATGCTCTAGAACTGGCTTTTTTTTACTCACTAATACGTCATCTCACTGTGTGCTAATTTGTTACCTGTCTTCTATATTATACTATATTTTGAGCCAGTTTAAATTTTTTTTGGAGATAGAATATATAGCAAACATTCATCAGTCTTCCTGCTAAAGGCTACTGCCACAGAAAGGGAAGAACAAAATCACACACAGGACTGGGCCTCTGTGCAAACACAGGAGTTCTGAATGGACATTATGGTCACCCAATGTGCAGTTGCCCTTGGCCTCTAAAAGAGGCTCCTTCCTATGTGCTTGCTGATAGGGTTTATGTGACCCTATGTGGTGAATTGCCTGTGAAGGGGGCGTGAGAAATCGTCCGGTATTAGGACGGCAGCACAGTGTCTGAGTTCTTATTCTCTCCATCTAAGATCTGACAAACTTTGCATTTTGTTTTGCTTACACATACACACATGCACGTGCACACACACTTACCTGGAACTTCCCTACAAATTTAACACGTGTGCAAGAGAAAAATGACAGATGTATGCAGTGTGTTCTTTATTTAGATATTGACGTTAGCTAAACATTTACATGCCACTGTTAGCCACTTTATAACTAGCTACAACAGAAATGACATTGGTGTTTTTGTGATGTAGAGTAGGACAACAAAAACTCTCGCCCAAACTCAAAGTGCTTTTTCTGTTTTCTCACTCAACAACAATTGACACAGAAGACTTCTGTGACCAAACTTGTGGGGATTTCTCCCCACGAACAAGCAAGCAATTCTGTGACAGATATCAGCTGAGTATTTTCTTTAATTCCGTTCTATCCCGACTCTGTCTACCTGGAGATAGCCTCAGATCCCACAAGTTGAGGGCTCAGTTTCTGAGACTGTGCCCCTCATCCGATCTCCTTGTGTTCAGCTATTCAGAAGTTCTCCAAACCCTGTCCTTTGGGGTTTTTATGGAGGCTTCGTTACATAGGCGTGATTGATTTACTGACCATGGGTGAGCCGCTTAACCTTTGATCCCTCTCCCTTCCCTGAGGGTCAGGGATGGGGCTGCAGTCCCAGCCCTCTATTACTGCTTTGGTCTTTCTGGTGATCAGCTGCCATCCTGAAGCTATCTCTAGGCTGCAACCATCAGTCAATTATGAGCATACAAGAAGACCTAACTGGAGATTCGGAGGATTTTAAGAGTTGCATGCCAGAAAATGGAGGGGGAGAATCGAAGACCACATATGTATTTTGTAATATCACAGTGGCACTAAGAAATTAGGTGGGAACTGAAGAGTTCTCTCAAAAAAGGTTTTTATAAATATTTGACATTGTGTAGATACGTGGAAGCAAAGCAATCTTTTATCTCTAGGAATTGAAATTTGCTATATCTGTTATTTTCATTTTGGTTTTCTCTAGCTTCTCTGAAGTATATATTAATGATTTTGAATCTAGGGGGATTTTCCTCCAATCAAGAAATCATTGGACTGGGCATGGTGGCTCATGCCTATAATCCCAGCACTTTGGGAGGCCGAGGCGGGTGAATCATGAGGTCAGAAGTTCGAGACCAACATGGTGAAACCCCATCTCTACTAAAAATACAAAAAATTAGCCAGATATGGTGGTGCACGCCTGTAATTCCAGCTACTCAGGAGGCTGAGACATGAGAGTTGCTTGATCCCACGAGGTGGAGGTTGCAGTGAGCCGAGATC